TAATCACTTAGGTGTAACTTGTATAATGAGCTAATGAAACTTTCCTGACGGGTTATTTACTATCTGGAACGAATTTAACGGGCTTTAACGCTATCTCCCCGCCATTGAAAAATTGGTTTTCAGAAGTACAATATATAAATTTGTTAGAATGTGGTAGGGTGTTATTATTTTATAATCAAAAGGATTGCACTTTAATTGAAAGAAAGATTATGTGATTATCAGATGCAAATCCAAGGTATTTATTTCAATTTTTCAGTTAAGGTGAATAATGTTTATCTTTACTTTGTAGTGCGGTGTTTATATTTGTATTAGTATTTGTAATAAGATTAAGAATATAATGTGAACATCTTAAAGCGTCGCGGTTAATAAATAATGTATATTTGTATATCACTTCTCTGTCGATTATCGATTATATTGAGACCAATAAAGAAAACGAATTGCACTTTCTTTTGGAGGAAGAAATTAAAAAAATGAGCAAAAGTCGGTATCATTTGTTTAAAAATTGAACATAATTTGGAAACATATTCTTTATATGTGCAGATTGTAAAGAATCGATATTATACCCCTAAATCAAATACATACGAATGAAATAATTATAACGAATGAAATAATTATAACAATATCATTAAAATATTTAGAATAAAATTTATCTAAATGCGTTTTTGTTTGTATCTATAATGAAACATTTGAAGAAAATAATATATCAATACGCCTGAACTCGTATTTTTATATGCCATGTTGAAATGATACAAATTGCAGATACATGTAAACAATTCAAACGAGGTCATGAACTTCAGGTTGCCGATTAACAATGAATGATTTCGCAGTTGACCGCCTGTGGCATGAGTCCACTCTTATCTTAGCTGTAATGGATCTTTCTGGTTTATTGGCTAGAAATATTAAAAAAGGCGGGGTTATTTTCTTACTACTTTGCTTAATATTATGCTATAACAGCGTTTTGTGAAATTTGTTCTTATAATCGATTCATTATAGTGCAGAAAAGATATATAAAAACTACTTTAAGACAGGGAAAATGTGAAGAAAATATGTATTATACAATCCGTATATATTATATGAATGAAAGATATAAGCTATGAAATCATCTAATGAGAGTTATTTTCTTATTGATTAAATTTTCTTGTGACCACTAAAACTAATGATAATGATGAAGGTAATACCAAGTTATTATAAAACAGTTTAATATTGTTTCAATACTTTTTTTTTCAGATAAAGGATCATTAATGTGAAGAAACAGACTTATAGAAGAAATCAACAAGATATCATACTATACCTAGACTATTTGATGTGAAGGATAATGCTATTTATTGCCTGACAAAATTCATGCCATTGTGTTTTGCTTATTTATTTTTGTTGTTGTTTTATTTTAAGCAATTAGCCTATATATCTTGAACAATAGATTACACATGTATCGTACTAAAAATAAATAATGAATAAATATACTTTTTTTAAGATTCGCTCAAAAAAGGAGATGAATCAAAAAAGGAGATAAATGGGGCATAAATAGGCCATGTTTAAGTTCTTGTTGTGTGAAAATAGATATTTCGCGACGAGTGAAATATCAGCTTTTTCATGCCACAATATTAAATCAATCCTGTATTTATAGAAAATAAACTTCACTTTTTTTGTTCATTATTCATCTTTTTCTTTCGCTTGACACTAAAATTTGAATGACTTTCCCTTTAACTTTGTAATTTGACTGAGTTTAGAAGAATGTAGTCCGAAAAGACACCAGTGAAAAACGGAAATATGTTTCACTGCAGTCCTTTCAATAAAACAAGGAAAATAAACTATTTTTTATGTCATCAATATTTCTCAATATTTCAGAATTTATATTAAGGATATTTAAGAATATAATGAAAAGGGATACAAAGGTTTTTTTATGTAATTACGTGATTTATTTCATCGAGTGATATGAAAATAAATATTTCACCAGCTCTCTTCTTATTTATCTTTAATATGCATATTGGCGACAGTAGTTACGACACCAGTGAAATAAGATACATATGTTACACTTCAGTTAAAGAAAACTTATACGGATAAAAATTTATTCATAAATGTACAATTGTACAATTAATAATCTATTTAACTTAAAGAATCAAACGTGTATGATTATTTTATAAATATATGTATGATCTTAAGAATACGATGCAAAATTTAACAGATAAATATCATCAGTTTTACATAGCCAATATTATATTATTTTTTATACGTAAGAGAATTAGTATTGAATGTATTTTTTCACTACTATATATTCTTGAACAAAATTATGAAAACATGTAACAAAAACGAATCAGTTTGCGTTAATTTTTAACCCTTCTATTTCATATTTAAAAGATATTGACTGACTGCTATTTATTTAAAATGCTTTTGTAATCCGCATAAATGACAGCTATATTGACCCATCAAAAAGTAAGAGAAATATTATTCTATGCGTATTTATCAAATTACTCCGAACAACGATTTCCAACACTGTCCTTAGAAAATTAACTCGTGGAATATTATCCACAGAACGGACAGGTACAATGCGTTTCATCGGAAGTTTAAAAGATAGGGGAATTATTCCCCTATCTCTCTAGTATCACTATGTATTTCTCTCTGCATGTAAATTTGTTACTGAAAAAGTGGCTTCAGATCGACCCCCGGAAAAAGGACATCTGGAATTTCCTTTTTTATTCTGGAACGCATTATATATATATATAATTTCTCAATAGAGAAACACTCAAACTAATGTGTTAAATGTTAATAAATTTGAATTTATTTCATAAATGTAGATTAATTAGTAATTAATTAATTATTTTTCATCTTATTTTACTTTATAATCTTTTGTAACTTAGCATTTTACATTAAAGAACACAACTTAAGTTTAAGTGAATTCATGTCAGTTTTAGAAGTATTTCTTGCTTGTCTTAAGTTAATGTAATTTTGTCATTTTTTTATTCTTTGTGCTATTTGAGAATCAGTTTCAATTATTTCTATTCAGTATCACATTTTGCAAACTTGGTTATCACTTGTTGAAAGTAATGTTGCACTGTTTCATACAATGTATGTATAATTGTTTTTCATGTTCACTGAATACATTTCAACAAATCAACCTTTTGCCTTTTTCCTCTATGTAGTTAAAGTTACAATTTTTCCCATTTCTATTAGAGAGTAAGATAATTAACCTGGAATGATAACTTTCTGGTCGAGTTGACAAGTATACCTATGTTATCTTAAATAAATATTGACCGGTGGTGTCATCCTGACAAACAGTATACACGTATATCCTAATAATGAGATTATGTAATCATCTAATTTTTAGATAATCGAAAAAAAAAAAAAAAAAAGAAAGATCGCAATTTTGAAAAAACAGTCATAGGAAAATTTTATCACAAATTAATGGATTGATGATCACCAAACTTGGTTCTTACCATTTTTACTTAAAGAAAAAAAAACAGTGTCGAGAAACCTGATAACTAGAGAGGCAAGTTGAAGTTGACCTGGACTTGTCTTTCTACAAGTTTATTTGAAAATATATATCTATAATCACTGAAAAACAGTTGTATCTGGTGAGCGAGTCAGGGCCATCATGGCCCTCTTGTTATACAAATTAAAATCATAGATACATTATATGGGTCAACCATAATATGTACTGTTATATAAATCATCGGTTTACACGCACACATTCAATGATATTCCTTCCTTACACGGCGTGATGTATAACAGATTCATTTGCAGTACTAGTACTGGTCTTCAATTGCACGTTTGAAATATATCGGAAATGTATACAAAACAAATAATTGCAAACATGTATCGGAATATAGTTACTTTTTTTCGAAAATAATGTAAAATAATATTTATTTAAAATTCACATCAAATCATTAAAAAAATAACGCAATAACCTGATACAATGCATCACATATACAAAACCCGAAAAGTTAAACATTGGATAATATCAGTATATAATTTTAAACACTATGAACTTATAGAAGAAAGAGAACAGAAAGCATAACTTTTCGAAAAACTATTATAATGAGACTTAGTGTAATTTATGTGTTACAAGAACATATTGACAAATTAACTTACTATGATATTTTCTTTTTTCTTTCTTTTTTTTCTAAAGAAAAGCAGGCATACGAATAAGTATTAGCAGGCATTGACAAAATTGTTGTGCTACAAAGTAACGGGTTGAGTTTGATTTAACAATTTTCCCAAAGGAAGAGCTGAAAACATCAATATTTCTGCCTGCTCTGTTATAAAAAATGTGAAAAATATATTGTAATACAATAGGTGCTGATGCAAAATTAGTAAATTAATTATTAAAGTTTCATAATCAGGCATCAAGTTGGTCCGACCGTTCAAAATGTGTGGCTTTAATAAAATATTTTAAGGTGTTAACATACAAAATAAACACGTTTAAGACTGGCAAGCATTATCAGTTAAATGCCGTTTTTACTATGTGACTAATAGTACCCACTATTTTAATGATTTTGAATCCTTTCTTCAATATTGCATGATTATAAGATTATAAGATAATGTCGTTATTCAGTTTGAATGCAAGTTGTTTTTGTGTTGGGAACATTTTTTTTTTTTTTTTTTTATTTATAAACACCAATTTCATCATATAAATATTTTTAACTAGTATGATAATTTATCGTCAGATTAAGATGCGATACCTTCATGATTATTTTAGCTTTAACTTATATTTCTACAAGAGTTCAAATGTTGTGTTCATTTAGACAAGAAATGATTAAAAGAAAGGAAATAAAAGACAACTGTAACTCATCCTTAATTATCAAGCTGTCAGAAATCTCATAATTATCCTAAAACTAGCTCTGCAAATTTCTGTCAATTGAAAAATACTAATTAGTACGTGATGTAGTGAATATGCTAAATTTAACAGTATTGTTTTGCCTAACTAATAAATCAAATTCATAACCTGATAAACAAATGAATTTCAAACAATATGAATTCTTGACTTGTGCCTTCTAAGGAATCAGGGGGCCGTCTTATCAACGGTCGTACGACCGTTTTTGTCGTACGATTGTCGTACGTCGATCGTACGATTTTGGCGGTGTCTTATCAAACGTCGCAGATTTTCATAATCGTACGATTATCCTAAGATCATGCATTTTTTCTGCGATCGCTGAGAAGCAGTCGCAGATCAAACAAAATGGCCGCCTTACTACTGGTAAACGAACGCCGCCGACGAAAATCACGCTGTTTTCGCCAACGAACGGTTCACCTTGATGATTTAACCGATCGAGAAGTCATTTCCCGATACAGGCTCAATAAAGCAGCGATTAAAGAGTTGGAGGAGCTCTGTCGTGCTGATCTTTCCCCTAAAACGGGTAGATCGCAGTCTATTGGCAGCATGACGAAGGTAAATGTATCGAAGTTTCACTGTATTTATTGTTTACATTCGTAACTAAGCAGTTTGACCTTAACCTTGATTTATTTTTAGCCCAAGCATTATGGGTAAACATGGCGCTGTGTTATGTGTACATAGAAAAAATTAGACTTAGATCCACAATAACACGGCTTTAATTAGAGCTTTGATAACTATGCCGTTGTAAAAGAAAGGAAAAGTGATGTTATTAACAAATTCAATAATTCTTGATACGTCAGAGGAGAGGAATTTGGCTGAATTTGTAGATATTGGGATCCGTAAACAAGGAGTGCATCAGTGAATAGCCATAGTCAGAGGATGATAGGAGGATTATTTAAACCGGTTTCATTACCTGTAAAAATGGGCAAACGTGTTTTGTTATGAAATGTAAACACTGTTCATTTTACATTTAATGGCTGGCAATATCAACAGTTGCAGAAGTTACGAGAAATCAGTAATAAACAGATAAAGGATTCATAATTTATGACATAGCACTCGTCCATGTCGTCTATTATTAAAGATGACAAGTATAGCACTAGTAGGTAAGAATAATTATTGACATGATAGCTAATAAGTTCTGAGTTTCACAGCCCATTGAATAGAAATGTCATATTTTAGGTATGTATAATAAAAGCCAACACTTGTTATTTTTCTTTTTTACTTTATTTTTTTTTGTGAACAATGAATAGAGCTACTGTATGATTTTTCAGGTTCTCATAGGACTGAGATTCCTAGCAAAGGGGGATTTTCTGTCGGAAGTTTCAGACTTGCATGGTGTATCAAAAGCGTCAGGGGCAGTTATTGTGGACGAGTTTATTTCTAGTGTCAATGCTAGATTGAACAACATCAGGTAATAATATTATATCATTACTGTAGTCATTATTAATACTAATGCAAGTAAAGACAGTAAGATGTATTTCATCATACAACAAGATAACATGTTGCTTAACATTAAAAGTTGAAAACACAGACAGAAGATCAATGAATTTATATACATGTCACAGGGTGTGAAAAGTGCGACCTGACCAGGACTCGAACCTGGGACCGTTCCCCGGCTCTATGGTCTACCTACTGAGCTGTTGGGCAGCTAACACATGTTCTCCCCTTATTAGTGAACTGTTCTGAAAAGTGACATGCTTCCCCAATATATAGAAATTCATCCTTGAATTTCACAGAGTTTCAGAGCAATGTGAATTAAACTCTGAGCTATATTCATTCACAGTCCCTCGTTGGGCGCCAAATGTCACAGGGTGAGTAAAATGTGCAGTCTGACCGGGACTCGAACCATGGACCCTCAGAATATTGTTCCAATAACTGAGACCCCATTCAAGGTAATTCAATACTTTGGAACAACAAGCATGTATTTGCAGACAACACAGAAAAGGTTGGAAAGTTCTATTTCTTTGATAAAATCATCTTAAAATTTCATACTGGTACTGGTTGGGGACCACCAAAACCGGACAACCACCAAACCCGGACGGACCCGAAAATGCTTAATTTAGTATTTTCTTTGTTCAGTGGTTGTCAGTCACTTTTTCATTAACAATAAATGCACATTTCTTCTAAAAATAAAATTAAGTAAATAAATTTATTTCAACCTCCGTAAATGGTAATATTTTAATGTCTATTTCTACAATGTTGACGTTGAAATTTGGGGGGTCAAGAAAGCATTACCTGACCTCATATACCAGCTATAATCATTTGCAGAGTAAACAATAGAATATCCAAAACTTCAGCATTTGTTGCTGAAATATTGTACATCATGTTAAAAATCTAAAATCAAAACACCCAAGCTTTTATCTGAATTAAATCGCATGATGTACATATTTGTCCGGACATATGGTACTGTAGTGTAGACAATTTAGGTAATTTTGATACCCTCCTTGTCAAGCCTCAGATATAAGTGTCAATACAATCAGAAATAAACAAACTAGTTTGTTAGTTAGGAGAAGAACCTAGCTGAACTGTGTCAAATTTTAAGGTCTCTAGGTTAAAAATTATTAAATCAGTACGGAAAAATGTTCAAAAAGTGTCCGGTTGATGGTCCCTGAACAGTACTGAATTATATTCAATATATAAAAGCCCAAATAACTGCTATATATATGAGCCCTGTCATGACAAAACCAACATAATGGGTTTGCGACCAGCATGGATCCAGACCAGCCTGCGCATCTGCGCAGTCTGATCAGGATCCATGCTGTTCGCTTACAAACCCTGTAACAAGCAGAGAAACTGATAACGAACATCATGTATCCTGATCAGACTGCGCGGATGCGCAGGCTGGTCTGGATCCATGCTGGTCGCAAACCCATTATGTTGGTATTGTCATGGCACGGCTCATATGAAATTTTGAATAAAAGTGAGAAAAGGTGTTACATTTAGACCTACATGGCCCAATTATGTAGGAAAGTAAAAGAACAGTATTATAAACATGATGATGCTTTGTTAGAACTGTCAAAGTTTAATACTCGTCCATAGCCAGATTAGTATTTTTTTTTGTTTAAAAATGTGATTTGGGGACAGAAACTGCCAGGAAACCAGTATGGTATTATAAATATTGTAAACATGCTGGTATTCATTCAGAATTTTATTTTATTTTCTCTCAATGATAGAAAGGATGTTTGCAGTATTGAAAATTCTTTATAAAAATTGTTGACATGTTGAATGGCCAAATATAAACATTTGTTTAGAATATAACCTTTGCGGCTTGGTTATATATTCAAGCATATATAGGGTCATATAACCTGTCAAAATCTTAACAGCTAATAATATATAACCTTTCAAATATTTTACATGTAAAACTAAGTGGGATTCCAGCAAACAATCTACATATTTTATCACAACTTAATTCATATAAAAGTTTGTGCTGTTTATCAGCACAAGTGTTTAGTTTCCATGTCACTACAGAATAAATGTTAATTTTTATCAGGTTTCCAACAGACAGAAATGACATCATTCAGTTGAAGAGAACTTTTTATCAAAAGTCTAGGATCCCTAACGTGATTGGTATTTTAAACATTCTTAACCATTTAAATTTTATGATTATAATACTGCAAGTTTGGAATGTTGCTTTTCATTATATACACAGCTGCTGTCAATTCATGGATCATATTTCATTTTACCATATAAACAAATGACATTTGCTGACTTATTGATTGTTGCCATGTTATAGTGCAGCATATAAATGGTTGTTTACAATATAACCATCACCTAGTGGCTCAATATATATCAGGCCTTATAACCTGTGAAAATCTTAATAACTAATTGTATACATGCCACAATTTCAGCTGAAATATTACTTGTGAAGCATTTTCATTCAACAATTACACAAATTCTAATGCATGTGAGGTCTATTTCAAAGAAAACACATGAGTTTCATGACTTTTTTTGTTCTGTTTTTTATTGCTAATATATCAGTTTGAAATTTTTTACAAGTTTTGTAAATTTGTGCAGGAGCAGTAGATGGGACATTGATTCCTATTGAAGCCCCAAAAGAAAATGAAGCTGCATATGTATGCAGAAAAAATTTCCATGCACTTAATGTGCAAGCTGTTTGTGACACAGATATGAGGTACTAAAATACATATCTATTCATTGTTAACAATCACCATTGTATTTATTGCTAAGCTTAAGAAACCTAAACTTAATTGCATGTTGCCTTGTACAAATATAGATATACAAATTGATTATTTTATATACTAAAGAATAAGGAAAAAGGGAAATGATTTCTATTTGTAAACATGTTTGAAAAAATTATTATGATTAATTAAAAAGGATAATATAGAATAATATATGTCCTTTTTCAGATTCACAGACGTTGTGGCAATGTGGCCAGGGTCACAGCATGACTCAGCCATATTTGATGCATGTGGTTTGAAGGTAATCCTTTCAAGTATATAACACTAGTAGAAATGTGTGCTCTCTACATATAACAAATATCATCTCAACCAGGATAATAAACTAACTGTTGTAGTTCCAAACATTGCAGACATTGTACCTTTGAAGCTCTATTTAGCTCTTTTAGATCATTTTACTCCATACTTAATGTGGTCACTAACTTTACATAGAAATGCATATACACAAAGACTACATAAATGTATATGCTTCGCAGAATTGCCAAAATTGGCCTCTTTATAAGGTCAAAAAAAATGTCTTAATAAAATATTTCTCCTTTGAAAATAATTTACTTCTTTTTTCTATCAATACATCATCTTGAGCAATTGAAGAAGGAGATTATGGCCATTTTCAATAACTGTTTGTTACTTGTGGTTGCTCATTTAATTTTACAGGATTATCTTGAAAGGACAGGTGCTGGGATGCTGCTGGGAGATAGTGGGTATCCTTTAAGGAGGTACCTACTAACTCCGAAGTTGAATCCCACTACACAACAAGAGGAGGAATTCAACAAGTACCACAGTAGGGGCAGAATGGTTATTGAAAGGGCTTTCGGCTTGTTGAAGTCACGGTTTCGGTAATACTTGGTATTATTATTACTTTTCATTGCTACTACTCAGAGAATATCTTTGTACCCCGGCCAAGGGAGTCACTATCAGCGTGACCACTTATGTGAAAGTATATGTAACATCTCAAATGTTGTCATTGTCCATTTACATATGGCCTTGAAACTTTGTATCAAACATTTTGACAGATTTATACCACTTTTTTAATTTTTTTTTTAAGGAATGGATATTCCTCTTTTCTTGCATATCAGACAGGATTCTGTTCTGAAAATAATTGATATGAGCCTTGTTACCGCCGTAAACAGTTACCCTTGAGCTAGATATTCCGGTTTGTACCGGCATCCAGTGTAAGATCAGTATACGTTTATTCCATCATTATCCAGTTTATTGCTATACTATCAAGCACTAAGAAAAGTCAAGCGTGCTGTCCTTTTGACAGCTCTGGTTTTTCAGTATGATCAATACTAGAAAATTAATATGTCATCAGAATGAAGTGTTACATCACAAATCATTGCAACTCAATCTAACAGATAAGCTGACATGAATTTCTGTGAAAAATTAATTTATTGGTGCCTAGAAATCATTTAAAACATGAAATCATGTTTTAATGCACATTTCAATGTAGGAATTGTTAACCTAACAGACAACATGCATATTGAAAGCTATTTTAAATGTATTTTACAGTTGCCTACACAGGACTGGTGGTGTACTTCAATTCAAGCCAGGAAAGTGTGGCAAAGTTGTGCTGGCTTGCATGAGGCTCCACAACTTATGCGTTAATCGAGGAGTGCCAGAACCTCAAGGTGTTATACCAGAGGCAACAGAAAGCACCCCATACATCCTTGATAACCCAGGAAGTGAAGATGGGAATTTAAGAGATCAAATTGTTAGATTGTTTTAAAGTGTATTGGTCTACAATGTGCAAATTGCCCATGCTTTTTAAAGATATTTTACCCCAGACTTTGATTTTATTGCTCAATGACATCACTGTTTGGAGTTTGGATGCGAGGAATTATATCACGAGGGCGTAGCCTGGGTGATATAATGATGCACATCTGGATGACAAACTGTGTTTTATCAAGCGATAAAATCACCAATTTGGATATCTTATTTCAATTCTAACACAACATCAACAAATAAATGTGCAGTACCTGAGATTAAGCAAAATTGCCCCTGATTTGTTTCCGTACTTCTTTTCAGAGTGTCGGATTTTTAGCTCGACTATACGATGTATCTGGAGATCTGTCCTACTCGCCCTGGCGTGGGCGTCCAGATTTCGGATTAAAGTTTTGGTGCAGTAAAATATTTTTAACTATAACTTTTTCATTTCTTAAGGTATTAACTTCAAATATATGTTCCTTATCATCAACCACATCTTATGTGACATGGTTCATAACTTTAGCACCAATATTGTCAGTTTAATCTCCCTTTGAACTTAGAATTTTCCTTAAACAATATTATTTTTTACTGTTATTTCTTTATTTTTTACGGTAATTAAAGGATCAACTTCATACTTCAAATGTTTATTCCTTATCATTAACCACGTCTATGTGACAAGATTTATAACTCTAGCAGCAATATTGCAAGAATTATCTCCCCATTAACATAGATTTTTACTTGAAAAATGTTATTTTTTACTATAACCTCTTTAGTTTTAAAGATATCTGCCTCAAACTTCAAATACACATTTCTTATCATCAAGCAGATTTTATTTGACAAGGTTCATAACTCTTGAAGCAATATTTTCATATTTATCACCCTTTTAACTTAGAATTTTTTTCAAGATATATTATAACTTCTTTACCTTTTAAGGTATCTTCTTCGAACTTCAAATATATATTTCTTATCATTACACACATGTTGTATAACAATGTCCATAACTCTAGTGTGACTGTTTCCAGAATTGTTCCTCCTTGAACTTTGAATTTATATTAACAACTATAACTTCATGTCATAAGAAAAATATTTTTATTTCATAATTGGTTTAATTCTAATATTATTTATCAGGTATACTAAATTAATATCAACATAATAATCCATGGTATTACAGAACATTCATTATAGACCAATACATTTTAATGAATGTAAATGTATTTCAATTTAACAGGATAATTTGTTTACTAATTTCTCAAAATTTGCATTTAAAGTTTTCATATTTTCATTTAAAGATGAAACTTGGGCAACTAAATCTCTCATCACAGCAGTTTGCTGTATTACTAGTTCTTCAACACGATGACCTGAAATCAAATAAAGAATATATTTACAACCCTTAAATTTATGAAAATAAATATTTCATGAGTGGCGGTAGCCACGAGTGAAATATGGTAATTTTCATGCCACAAGATGAAAATAAATCATGTATTTATAGAAAAAACTTGAATTTTCTGTTTATTATGTACATTTTTCTCTTTTTAGCGATAAAATTTGAAAAACTTTCCCTTAAATTTTGTGTACTGGTAGTATTTAAAAGAAAGTAGTCCGGCAAGACAACAGTGAAAATACGGAAAATATGTTTCACTGCAGTGAAAAATAAATTTTTACAGTGAAAATACGGAAAATGAAAATACGCATTTTATTTCATCAATATTTCTCAATATTTCATTTATAAGTATATAATAAAATCTATTTCCTTTGTAAATACCATTTGTTTTCATTATGTATTAATTATAATTTCAAAATTTTTTGTTCTGTCATTGGCATAGCATCAAATTAAATGTTTTTCTGATAATAGACAATCTTGTTCGATAAAATTTATTTGTCGCCTACAGTCATAATATTTTGAAAATGTGACTTTATTAAAACTGAGATAAACTGCCATCCTACATTAAATGAAAATATGATCTATATGAATGAAGAATGTTGAAGCTTTAAATTGTTCGAGCAGTAAAGTACTTGTGGAAAAGCTCTATTTTTGCATGAAAAAACTTTGATTACAATCATAACTGTTAGATAAATAGATAACTAGATGATATTTATGATGGTCATTGTTTTTAATTAGTTACATGTATCATACTCACTTTCATCTCTAGCTGTGTTTGCTTCAGGTGCACTCTTTCTTGCTGAAGCATCTGAAATTTATATTACAATGTATAATAAGCAAATGATTATCTATATGATAAGTTAAAGTTTACTCATAGTTAACATGAGAATAATAGTTGCATAAAAGAAATCATTGATTGTAAAAAGAATGATACTTACTATCATATTTTGCCCTCTTGAGTAAAGGTTCACTGTCCTGTATGGTGGACCCTAAAATATATAATGTACACATTTTATGGAACAATGGATTCTGTTTCATGTAGAGTCATTTATAGCAAACATACTGTCTGCTTCAAAGTTCATATTTTAATGTGAAGGTTTATTATGTAAAAAGTTTGGTGCCATTGATGACATGTGACCAATGTAGTTGTATATTGTAAATATGTTGCCACATGACCTAATTGCTTTATGAAATGAAGATACATTTATAGACATTCAAGATATAGTATGTAATGACTTTAGTCCAATGAGCTTAAAGGTGTTGATCCTGACTGTAATATTGATATTTTATTGACATGTCTGTCGCATTAAATATATATTATTGAAACACAAAAAATTGTATTATTGTTTTTATTTAGCAATTTAAATTACATAATTATACATACATTCAATCTCATCACTTGTACTTGTACAACAGGAAGATCTGGGATGTGTTGGTTATTGGTAGGGTCATTATTTTCTGAAAGATATGCATTATATACAGTATATTATCAATGGTGAAAGGTGTGTTTATATATAAAGGATTACTATATTTTAAACTAATACCTGCTATGCTTAATGTGGGAAAATCACATCTTTACAAAATTAATTTCACCACTTTGAAGTTGGCATTGAATTAAATAATATTGGACAGCACAAAGCATTATATTTAAACAAGCCAGTTACCATAAAATGTATCCGTTCCATTTTCAATTCCCTCCACACTGCATCTGGGAATTGTCTGTAATACCTGCATCCAGAAAATATATTAAATGCGTTCCAGAATAAAAAAGGAAATTCCAGATGTCCTTTTTCCTGGGGTCGACCTCAATGCGCTTTTTCATAATTCCCCTAACTTTTTAACCTAAGACGAAACGCATTGTACCTGTTCGTTTTGTGGATATATGATACCACTATCATTTTAAATGGGTTTATTTTCTAAGGATAATGTTGGAAATGGTTGTTCGGAAATATTTCATGAAAACACACATCTTACTTTCAAATTGGTTAATATAACAGTAATTTACGCAGATTACAAAAACCTTTTAATTGTAGACGGTCAATATTTTTTTAGATATGAAATAGAAGGCCTGGGTTAAAAAAAACACAAATGTCTGATCATTTATAGATTCATGTTTTTATACTTGTTTGAGAATATAGAGTAGAGAGAAAAGAATACGCCCGATATTAATTTGTTTACAAGAAAAATATAATAACGGGCTATAATAACATATCACATTTATCTGTACATTTATTCATCTTACTGTTAAGAAAATAAATATATTTATCAAATAACTTACCGTACTTATTCAAGTAAAATATATAAAACTTTTAAAAATCGATAAGCATATGTTGTACTTAATTCTTATGTATAAATGTAGTGTTAAATATATGTTTTAATCATAATGCATTTTCGAAAAAAATATTAAGAAGGATTGATGAAATGAAATGCTCATTTTCATTTTCCATATTTTTCTATGTATAAGCTTACTTTTTACTACATGTAACATATTTTCCGTTCTTATCCTGGTGTCGTAACTACTTTCGTCAATATACATATTAAAATAAACAAAAAAATAAATAATCATTTTTAAACAGAGAAAACTTTAATAACAGGCAATTCAATATTTTTCCTAAAATTGATTATTATCAAATTATTTCATTTAACATGTGTCTACAACAACTGGTGAAATATTTATTTCTATATCACTAGATGAAATAAAACACGCAATTACAGATAAAACTTCATATCCTCTTTCATTATATTCTTGAATATTCTTAATATAAATTCAGAAATATTGAAAAAAATATTTTATTACATAAATATGAGTGGTTCCGTTTAATTTATTTTTCACTGCAGTGAAATTATTTTCATATTGTCATTGTTGTCTTGTCGGATTATATTCTTCTATGTCAGCCAAATCACATAATCATAATGTCGTCAAATATTAATGCGGAACAAAAGAAAAAATGTAAACAATAAACAGAAAATTCAAGTTCTTTTTTTTTCTATAAAATTTAATACAGGATTAATTTGCACATTGTGGCATGAAAGTTCTGATATTTTCACTTGTCTCGAAATATTTATTTTCATAATAGTTTCAATAGATGAAAGCAAATCTGTATTTATTGAAAACAACTCAAACATCATCTATTAAATCATGTATTATCTTCTTTTAAGCGTTTTGAAACAAACAAAAAAATGAAAATTCGGTCCTCTCTTTTTTTTATATTTTTAATTCGTACATGGTACCACACATGTGTAATCTATTATTCAAATATATTTGTTAATTGATAAAAATAAAAACAACAAAAATAAATAAATAAATAAGCAAAGCATAATGAAATAAGTCAGACAAATCAATAAAATTATCGTTCAAATTTTCTTAAATCCAGGTTACTGTGTGATATCTTGTTGATTTCGTCTAATCACGTCTGTTGTTTTGTGTTGTTTTTGTTTCACATATCTGAAAACAAATATTGAAACAACATTAAATTGTTTTATGATACAACTTAGTTTTACGGTGGTCATCATTTATCTTTATTGATCACAAGCATTAAAAATGAAATAAAAGAATACAGTTTGGAATTATAAAAGCCCTTTTTTCAATATTGTTAAATCAGATTCTGTATGAATGTTCATGAAAAGCGTAAAATGTAAATGTAAATAAGATAACTAGAAGAAAATAACTCTAATAATTGTCATTGCTCATTATTATTTCATTCATATAATAATTATAATGCATATCTTCTACACATTTTCACTGTATACTGCCTTTGCTTAAAGTATTTTATATCTATCCTTTCTTTAATGAAATGAATCGATAAAATGAACAGACCCTGTAAACCCTCTGTAATAGCATAGTATAAAGGTGTTATAAAATTAAAACAGTAAGGAAATAACCCCGCCTATTTAATAATCAAAACGCTTGAATCTGTCTAACTGATCCATAACATTACAGCTGAGATAAGGGATGAACTAACGCCATAATCATCCAAGTCCTACACATTAACCCAATATGTCCAGTTTCTTCCAAAATTTCATATCTCTGATCAGTGATGATCATTTTAATTGTAATTACGCGGCTTGCCACTGTTATCACTGACAGCAGTACCATTGGAATTTTTTGATCCTATCATGTTTAAAAATGTATAGTTTAATGCTGGAGGATATAGAGAACATTTTAGAATTAATTGAAAAACAAGTTCAAGGGGGATAATTCTGTAAATATTCATACTACAGTTATGAATTTTATCACACATGATAAGGAACATAAATTTAAAGTTAGAAGTAATTACCTTAAGAAATAAAAAAAGTAACATTTTTTTGAGAGAAAAGATAAGTTCATGAGGAGAACATTCTGAAAAAATTGTGCAAGAGTTAAAAACATTGTCAATTATGATGTAGTTGATGATAAGGAAACATATGTTTGAAGTTTAATGTCAATCCTTATTTTTTGAAATGAAGATATTAGAGTAAAAAATATAACATTTTATCACAA